AATACTCGCGGAAGGATGGCGGAAGGGGCTTCGCGGAAGGGTAGTTTATGTAATGAAATTGCCAAAGAATAAAAACCAAGACTCATGTGAGCGTGCCAACTCACCCCCAAGCTCTCGAGCTCCGAGATATTTCTCCAAGGCATTCATGTTCGGCGTTTGATCTGGAGCAGCGGGCTGGCGCCTGGCGCGGAGACTCCTACTGCTTTGCCGAAGAACTCAAGCGAGAAGCGTTACAACCGCACCGGCTGAAATGCCGGCCAAAGTTCAATACTGGGAAGGTGCATCCGAAAATAGGAATAACAAGAGGCAGAAGCGTTGCCAAGCGAGAGCAGAGAAGTTGCAGCGCAAAGACATTCCTCCAAGCATGACCATCTTGAAGCAGATAGCTGTCCAGTTAATCGACTTTCGCGACTTTTTAGCACCATCCTGTCATGGCGATAACGTTCAACCGCGGAAGCCAGCAAGCCTGCGCTGTCCGGCTCAAATATGCTCGGGGCTGTATTCACGGAAGTGGGCAGAGGCTTTGGCGTAAGCGCCTCTTACGCAGAAGCTCCGCAGAAGGGACATCTCTTCCTTATCAGCATGCCTTTTTGGGTGGCATCCTTTGTACTTGACTTTTACTTCCTTGCAGAAAAAGCATGCCAGAAGCACATTTGCCGCGACGGAAGAGAACGCATTGCGAGCAGACGACCGCAAAAGGGCCTTGGAGGATTTGTCTCACGATCACAACTACAGCTTTGCTGCCCTGTCTGAGCTGCTAGCAACATTATCCCCCTCAATCTGCATTTCTGTTTTGATGCACATTGATGCAGGATTTTTGGAGTTCCGAATCTTGAGCCTCTCTTACTCCATGTCGTGGGGCACATGCCGCGCTATGTTTCTGTACCCGTGCTGACAGCTTATTGCAGGGAGCTGCAGAACAGCATTTTGTGCAACATAGGCCTGCATTTCCACGGACTTCTTAATGGGATTGCAAATGAATAAGTATTTCCATTTCAGACTACATCAAGTGTAAACGGTGGTGGAGGTTGGCTGATGAAAGCACCCGTTTGCCTAATTGCTCCTTTCGATTCAGCACAGCCTGGACAAATGTGTGCATAATCGTGGATATGAATGGCATGTAGGGATATAGAGCGAGCCGCAGACACCAACCTGGTGTGCAAGGATTGTTTACTCCATTGAAGGAGACGACGTTGATGCTCAGGACAGGTCATGACGTTGTGGTCTAGTTTTGAGGCATGGCGTTTTTGTCAGGAGGAGAGAGAAGATGCCGGCAAGGAAGAAATGGAAGATGTGGACAGCAAGCCGCAACTGATCCAAGCTTGGCACCCAGCATTCTGATGAAGCATTCTGAGTTCAACAGCAGATTGTTTCCCCACCCCCACAGTAGGGTTGTTAGAATTTGAAGAATTTCTCCTCGCCCTCCGTGCAGTGCCCAACCGCAGAGTATCCAATCGCCAAGTATCGCTTGCGTGCCCAACCGCAGAGTATCCCTATATTGCCCAACCGCAGAATATCAGTATCTCAGCAGAGCCCAACCGAATATTTTTTTCAGTGCCCGACCATATCACTGCTGCGCACCATCCAAAATACTCCGGCTTCAGTGCCCCAATCTTTCAATGCAGTGCCCAACTTTGGGTATCTCTGGAATGCCCAACCCCACAGTATAAGCATTAGAAATCCAAGCTTCACACAAGCCACCCCACCACCCCAATGGTAGGGCTTGGAATGATTCGTGTGTCTGCAGGCTGGCACATTCGTGCGGGAAGTAGTAAGTAGTTGATGATTCCGGCAAATGTCAAAAGGTAAGGGTGGGGATGTTCGAAGTGGACAATCTCCATCGGTCTTGGGATTGATTTGTTGTTTTGCCCATAGTTAATTCTTGGACACTTCTTGGACGTTTCCAACTCAGTGGGGGAACAAAGGAGTGAAGATAAAGGCCAAAGTGGAGGCAATGGGCTTGGTCCTGACAAGCGTTGAAAGACCCTTGTTGGAGTTGAAAGGAGGTCCGGCCGAGTCGATTGCCAGCCGCCCGATCGATCGGACAATGAAGTCCGAGATTTTCTGGACGACGCCTCCAACTCCCGTTGTCTCGACGTAATCGAGATAGCAAAGGCAATCTTGGGGAGGTTTTGGCAGGAGGATAACCTCCTTGCGTGGGCTAAGAGATCCCTTCGTCCTGAAAGGGTAAAACAACATCTGGGAACCTCCCAGCCCATGAGGCCACAAAAGCTGAGTCTGCGGGTTTGGGTGCCAGAAGACCTGGCCAGTGCTGAGTCTTCGCAATAAAAGCTACCCCTCCTGACAGAAGGTGTCAAGATGGAATTTTCCTCCGTGGTTCAGCCTTTCAACGTATGCCACCGGGGAGCAACTGGGATACGTGCCGGATTTCGCCACGAAAGCTAGGCTGCCTTCGAACCTGCAGCCGAGGGCGATGGAAGGGTGATAGGCATCAAGAAAAAGATACTTGTAGGCGAGCATCGCTCAAAATAGATTGTCATCAATAAAAAAGAGCGTGCACCAAAACAAAATAAACGGCAAACTACTGCAGTTTACAATTTTTGGGAGCGGGAAAGGTTGTAGATATGTTAAATGCAGCATTTCTAGCTACGCAGCACCAGCAAATATTGTTTTTCTTAGACTTCCTGACTTCTTGGCCACTCTCTTCTTGGCTGGCTGGCTTCTGGGCTTTATGGTTGCTTGCCTGGTTTATTTTCTTGGCTTTCTGGCTTCCTGGCTTCCTTGGCTTTTTGAGGGCTTCCTGGCCGCCTGGCTTCCTAGCTTCTTTGTTCCTCTTTCATGAATAACTATTGTTATCATTATTGATCAGAGTATTGTTCTTATTGCTACCATGAAATGTTACGCACACAGCAAATACGAATACAGCAAATTACAACATTTGCTATGTCATAATGCTATCTTCCTAGCAGTTTCCATTACAATCTGGCCACAGCCGTGTACAGCGTGTTCAGCAGCAACGGGCACACAGCGCGGAAAGAATGTGGCAGGGGATGTTTTTCGGAAATGACGGGAAACCGAGGAGTCGCGTTGTGATGTGGTCTGTGATGACATGGCGTGCGATTCCCTGGAACCTTTCCGGTATTCTAGTCAACTTAGCCATGGTTCATCATGATACAACAAGAAGACATGGTTGCAAGCGCACGTGAAAATGTTGAGGAGTTTATAGATGTACGAGTACCGCAGACATCCACTGACCAGGGTCTGTGTAGATTTTCTCTTATACGCGTAGTCAAACGTCAGCAAGTTTTCTGTAGGTTTGTGTTGGAGGTTGTGGAAGCAATTTGCTAAAAGGCACTCGGCTGAGATCTCCGCAAGTTTTGCGAAGTTTGTGCAGGTTTCATGGAAGCTCATGCGCATAAGCTTGCGCAGGGTTTTTGGTGTAGGTTTTGACTTCCGAGAACCTGTGGTGCTTCAGTATTTTGCATGGCTAAGGTGGTTCCTTGTTGTTCCTTGTTGGTCCATGTGGCAGTTCTTGGACGCGCTTACTTAGTTGTGTTTTTCATGACCTTGACGGGTCTTCAAAACTTAGGAGCTTAAGCAAGCAAAAGCGACAATCCCTTCCCCCAAATAGTGAACAATCTTCCCCCGACATTATTCAATCCGCGGCCCAAGAACAGACTTAATATCCGAGCAGGATGTTTATTGAAAGAACTGGATACGGGTCCCTTTAAGACCCCTGTACCATCCCTATAAAACCGGCCTAAAATCAATTGAACATGTGACTCTACAATCCATCAACATCGATCTAAAAGCGATCAATTCTAGCTAGAACCTTTTGGAAATCGAATTAAGATCAGTTTAACATTTGAGTAAATCAGCTTTTTCATCACGTGCAGCTTCATCAACAGAAAATCAAGTCTAAGCACAATCAACTGAAATCTAATAAGATTCACGTCAAAATCGAAGCGAGATCAAGTTAAAATCTTAAGATCTAGCTGACATTCATCAGAATCTAATCGCAACAACTCAGAACAATTAGAATCTAGTGAAAGTCATTCAAATCAAGTTTAGATTTTAATGATGACTCCCGAAGACCAATAGGGGGAACCAAGGAGACCCGTGCCTTTGTAACAGAAACCTTCCCTTATATCGCCCTTCAAAAGTGTCTTCAGGATTTTTAGGCCCCGGAACTCATCTTTTAAATGTTAGTGGGTTTTGGTGTTTTGGGCAAGGGATTTATCCAAGATGTTTAAGTTTCAGGCTGACTTTGGAGCGCTTAGCTTGTGAGAAAACCTCAGGCCTTGCAGAACGTCTTCTACAAGATGCAAACCTCCGACCAGGTCTGGCTTAATTAGGATAGACGCAGCCAGCCAGTAACATTTGCAATTTTGGTTCTGAGGCGGTGAACTGCAAGGAGCTCATGAAGCAACTCGAACGCAGTCTCGTAGAAGTCCATGTTGTGAGTTTTCTGGATATTGGCGGAAGGCCTGGATGACTGCCCTTCAGGTCATTCGGATGGGATACAATGGATGCTTTCACCCAGCACGATGCGCAGGAAAGACTGCCGACACTGTGAACAGGAGCTTTGCTTTCGTGTTGACCTTTTCGACAGGAATTGAATCGAATTCTGTGCGACAGATTGGAGGCACAGAAAATTGACCAGGAAGTTCTATCGGGTCGGTCCGGCCCCAACAAACGCAGGAGCGCATGAAGAACACGCCTTCTGATGGATCGATCAAGCGGCTCTTCGAAGGCACCTGCTATGAAACTATCCCTGCCGACAATCACTTGATTGATATGCCCATAGGAGAGATGGAGAACTACATTGAATGCATCGACGTGGACTACAAGTCCGCTTAAGCGGTTACGTTTGTATACTGAGAAATGCTTGGTGCCGAGTGCTCACTGAGGTCCCGCCGAAACGAGACGTTTTACGACATCCAGCTTAACATCAAAAGCGAACGCGGGCAGGCTCACACACACCCTGCATTTCAAGCTGACTGAACCGCAGGGGGGCGCAGCTTTGACAGGAATTGCAAAACATCGTCGAGTCTTTCCATGACTTCACCGCGGAGGCCGGGCAGTGTGCAGCTCTTGCAGCTCAGGTTGCTTGTACGTTCTGCCTGTAGCTGTGGCGTCATCTAAGATGCAGGAGACGCTTGAAGGTGACAACGCGTACGAGGTGTGTTACGTCTTGTTTGTGTGCTTGCCCTTTTGTGCTGATCATTCACAGTGATTGAAGAACAGGCGGAAGGGCACGGAAAGCAACGCGCAAAGACCCTGGGCTCGCAGTGAGATTTTACTTTCAGATCTCAAACGGGCTATTCAAGTCCGAGTTCAATTGCGATGTCTCCACACACTGTAAAGTTTAGAGTGGTGCCATGAGGCATGAAATTGGATACCATCTGGCAGCCCCTGGCATGCTCTAAGGAAGGGAATCAGGTTTCTCAGGCCAGCGCTGCTTGCAACATCCTGCAGAGAAGTATTCGCTGAACCTTTGGTGACAACATAAGTCCTTTTGAGGTTTCCTCCTGTGTTAAACTTGCAGCTGAAGCGCTTCCACTTCGACCTAGAAAAGATGGACATGGAGTCAGCCTCAGGTTTGCTGTGTCATTGGTCATTGCGGGCTGCCAGTGGAAGTCAAGTACAATCTGTAACAAGACCAATGTGAGGTCAAATTGAATTCCCGCTTCGAGTTCCCTCGCAAGCTTGATCTGAGCCCTTTTGCCCCTGATGGAGGCAGCTGGCAGACCTTGAAGCACAGCTGTCAAGAGTCAAGAGAAGCGCAGGCAGATATGACCTGTTTGCGGTGGTCGTTCACAACGGGGATGTCAACAGCGGGCCTGTGTCTGAGCTGGAAACGCCGCCGACGGCCGCCGGGTGTCAGTTCTTTCCTTCAAGGAATCAAGATAATCAAGCAGCTGAGGCACTACTACGCCCACATCCAACCAGATCCAGAGAGAGGATGGTTGCCCGGCTGAACGTGGCTGACAGCTTTGACTTGCTTTGCTGACATTTTATGCATACCGGCAGTGTCAGCTAAGATGTCAGGTTCAAGTTTGATGATGAGATGGTCACACCTTGCAGCGAGTATGCTGCGATAGAAGACAATTACGGAGGATGCCCGCTTGCTGTTGAAACACCTTAGACTTTTATGGGTGCGCAGGAGGTGACCTGGGAGTCTGGAACTATTTTGACCGCCGGCCCAGTGAACTGCCAGTATCTCAATTGTCGATTTGGGGACGGAACAGGTGGCAATGATGTAGCAAGATGGCCGCCGCTACTGCCACTGCTACTGTGCCCAGGCCACTCCAACCACTGTCACTGCTGCTGCTGCTGCTGCTGCTACTGCTTCTAACATCACTGCTACTATTGTTATTTGTGCTCCTCCTCCTCCTGCCACTACTGAATCATCATCATACTAGTAGTAGTCGTCGTAGTAGTAGTAGGAGGTTACGGTGCTGTAGGGTGCCTGGGTGTTCGTGCTCTGGGGGTATTCAAAAGTGCCACGCCTGGTAGGGTTTCGCGCACCTGTCTAAAATCAGCCTATTTTCGGGGTCCCCAAACTTTGTGCTTCGGGTCGCAAATATGCAGCGCACGGAAACTTGGTTCGCTTCCGTCAAGAAGGTGATTGAGTGGTTTGCGCTCCAGCTACCAATATCATGGGTTACTATGGAGTATTAGGTTCACAGGGGGCGATTAGGCCGACAGAATACTCAGAACATCACGCGCAGTCCTGGCTAGACACGCCTTTTTGTTTCCTCGGACATCATGGGAACATGTCGTTTGGGGCATGCCCTATCCTGCTAAACCCGGTGCGGATGCCTGCTGCTGCTGCTGCTGCTGCTGTCGTTGCCGCCGCCGCTGCCGCCGCCGCTGCTGCTGTCG